ACGTTTGTAACGTGACTTTTCATTGGATAATCGTGACGCTTATATTTCACTCATTCTCACTTAAGTACGACATTCCATGTCTTCAATGTTCTATGAAAATTTGTGGAGATATATAAGCCCGAACATTCTTGTAAAATGTTTTAACAATTGGTACTGCATCAAAGATTTAATTTGAGCGCAAGTTTACTAGCCTATTGGTTTGATTTTGCTAGTGACAATCGCTTTTGCAAGGAAGGGGTACGAAAAACAGCATGTCTTCAACTAAATCGAAGTATGTTTCATTGCACGTATCTTCGTACAAAAAGTCGTGGTTAACAGTAAACACAGCTTATTTTCGTTATTCTATTGCAGATTTTGACATATAAAACTGTTTTTGATATTACGAAAATTAATTTTCTCAAAATCAAATTTGAATTGCTTGTCTTCAAAGTCGAAATCATTTACGAGTCTTAATTGCAAAACAATGTTAATTATACATGGTAACTTATAAATGGTTATTTCAATAGCAATATTAAGTCTACAGTAATATAGTTCACATAAAATATGAAGATTAAGAGTATCTGTGTAACCATTTTGTTAAGGATTTCACGTTAATTTGGATTTTACAAGCGTAATTTGTAGAAAATCATTTACGAGGCTCATCAATACCATGCGTTTTGCAATATATTTTCAATTATTTCAATGTTATAATACTTCAGATATCTAGAGCGGATATTTGTCTTGCTTATATTCTGTCATTCATGTAAACCATTTCACAATTACTCATAAAATTCCCTTGTCAAACAGAATTTTTCAACATTTACGAGCCTATCATTTACGGGACTCACCCTCTTTCACATTCTCTTGTGATTTATTATGCTAAATTTGTTGAATTTTTCAACTTGTTAATGGACGTTGGTATTGTTGGAATAATATTCTTCCACGAAAACAAAGAAGTATCCATGTTTTTTAAACATACGCATCTGAAATGTGTTTTTCACTTGCAGATAGCTTCTAAAAATCATAATTTTGATATTGTAATTGGTAATCAGACGTTTTGACTACAGTATAATAGAGTTCAATGGATACTTACTTTCATATACGAATACATTCCAACTTATACTTTAATCACAAAAATGAAGTAAACATGAAAACAGGCGTGTCCCGTATCTGGCTGAACTGTCACGTAAATGGTAAAATTAATTTTGGAAAATTCATTCGAGTAATAGGAAATTTTGAGTCCACGCTTATCAATGAAAACACAGACACTTGGGGTTTGGAGCTCAAAACGCCTTTAAAATCCAAATAAAATGCATATTTGTCAATCCCAGCACATGTACTGATCATATATATCAAAATAACTTAATATAAGCCGTTTTGAAAAAATTTCATATTTCAACATCTATAATAATACACAAGATAAAAATGTTCGCCGGAAAAAATCTGCACCCCTACCGTCATAATCATACGGAAGAGCATTAGTGCCAGGTGTATGTTTTTTATTAACTCGAAATTTCGAGTTACTAACTCGAAATTTCGAGTTACTAACTCGAAATTTCGACTTACTAACACGAAATTTCGACTTACTAACTCGAAATTTCGAGTTCCTTATCTCGAAATTTTTAGTTACTAACTCGAAATTTCGACTTACTAACTCGAAATTTCGAGTTACTTATCTCGAAATTTCGACTAACTAACTCGAAATTTCGACTCACTAACTCGAAATTTCGACTTACTAACTCGAAATTTCGAGTTACTTATCTCGAAATTTCGACATACTAACTCGAAATTTCGACTTAGTAATTCGAAATTTCGACTTACATTGCACGACTTTCATTGGTTGCCGGTGAAAGCAAGGATTGAATTCAAGATACTTTCTTTCGTGTGTAGTTGTTGCACATTGACAGAGCACCTTTAACATTTATTTAACAGAACAATTTTATAGGGTCAAATTGTCCACACATACTGAACATATCCTTCGCTTTTTTGTGGAGGGGGGGGGGGATGTAAAATCACACTTTTATGGAGAAACAATAAGTCCAAAACCCACCCTATTGTAAATTGTGCAATATCATGTGTTAAATAAGTTTTAAATGACGTGTATAGGCCAGTTAGTCTGTCACGTTTCTTTATACTAATAACGTTTTTGTAACATTATTCATTATTTACTAATACTTAACTTTGATTCATATTGTGTTGATAAAAGTTGATAAAAGTGATACTTGTTATAATATATATGTTGGGAACAATATAAAAGCATCCGATTTTACAAAAATATAGTCAGTTCCAACAATTTTGACAAAGGCCTCAGCACGCCCTATTTTGGCCACGCCGCGATACTTTCCTCAGATGTCCCACACGTAAAGTATAGGATCGTTTTTTTTACAGGGATGAGAAGAATATGATTAGTGAAAAGATATGGTCGAACAGATGGGATACAATACAACGTCTGAAGAACGCCTGAACGTACAAATTAAAGGAAGCCTTGTATTTTTTATGTCGGGTGTGTACATGCCATTACTAAGTTTAAGTTAAATTTCAATAGTTTTTGTCCAGGCACCCGTTTCTCCATCTCCATCGTTCAAAGGCACTGCCTAACTATATCTTATACCATCTAAAATAACTTTGGCCATTCTTGTAATGTTAATAAGTCGAAATATCGAGTTACTAAGTCGAAATTTCGAGATAAGTAACTCGAAATTACGAGTTAGTAAGTCGAAATTTCGAGTTACTAAGTCGAAATTTCGAGTAAGTAAGTCGAAATTTCGAGTTAGTAACTCAAAATTTCGAGATAAGTAACTCGAAATTTCGGGTTAGTAAGTCGAAATTTCGAGTTAGTAAGTCGAAATTTCGAGTTATTAAGTCGAAATTTCGAGTTAGTAACTCGAAATTTCGAAATAAGTAACTCGAAATTTCGAGATAAGTAACTCGAAATTTCGAGTTAGTAACTCGAAATTTCGAGTTAGTAACTCGAAATTTCGAGTTAATAAAAAACATACACCTGGCACTAATGCTCTTCCGTATAATCACCATGTATTTTATTCCATTTCCAATATTTTCACATAATCCTTTGGTCCATCGAACAAAAAATATAATTTTTCACGATATTCCCATTTTTAACTTAAACGAAAATTTAAACAACCAACACCAAAATAAACATCAAGATTAATCGCCTTTTTCCTTCAATGAATTATCTTTCATAAATTCAAACGTGGCAGTCGGCTATGACCGAAGCCATCCGATAATGTGGCCCAGCTTTGCCGTGTGCCAAAATGCGCACCGCTTAAATTTAGAACCACAAATCGGATGGCTTCGGTCATAGCGACTGGCCACAAAGATAGGCCTGAGTGCTGTATTTTTTTTCGCATGCAAAACGACAAAAACGGTGTTAAATAGCCGATATACACTCTCATCCGATGCTATTTCGTTTCTATCACGATAAAATAAGGAAGATCACTAATGTTAATTTTTCAAGGCGAAATAACTTCCGATGCCGATTTTCGTATAACGCTGTTCGATTATCGCACCCTACTGTTTATAGTAGGTGTTCGGCTGCGTTTTAGGTCACTACCCCCGGCCAACTCCCCCCCCCTCACCCACTCTACAACCCTCCTACATCTCAAAACCCATGTAATAGTATTTTTGCTTTGATAACACACGTGTACTGATGTACACGTGTGTTATCAAAGCAAGGTACTATTAGGATGAAACTTTATAGCAACAAGCAAACAGAATTCATTTAATTTAATACTTCTTCCTACTTTTCACTTTCAAATATCACATTTGTATGATTTCAAAGACAGGAAGCGAAAAACAAGCATAATTTGCTCAAAATGTGTTTCTTTTACTCAAAACAACGTGTAATAACTGTTCAATGAAAACATCATATAAAACTATAACGAATCGTTTTAATTATTTGTTAAATTCTCCATCCAAAATGAAAGTACACATGTATAAACGGATGTATTCGTATGGAGTATTTTCATTGGTTGTGTGAAAACCTTAGACCAATAAAAATACTTCGTACAAAAAAAGAAAGAGGAGAGCACTCTGCAGAACATATTTGCATTTAGATTTGGAATTTGACATATCGGAAAAAGGTTTGTTATAGTTTTATATGATGTTTTGATTGAACAGTTATTGCAACTAATAATATAGCTTGATCATATTTATATGCGCAATACAAAAAAAATATTCATTCATTTCGAATAAACTGCCGTTTAGTCGGGTAATTTTGACAAAAACCCAGCGGTCAGGTCTCTGTCGAGTTACACTTGCGGTGACTTCGAGATTACATATCTTCATAAAACTTGAAATGATCGTAATGACAGCTTAAATTCTCTTAAGAGTAATCAATTCCCTACCATTTGGTACCCAGATATTGAAAATTGGTGAAAAAATGTTGGAGTTATGGAGTTCATATTAAGATGAGTGCTGAAAAATGAGCGGCGAGTTGCATACCTTTACTAAATATTTACATATCATTTTTTTTTGAAGGAGATGAAGGTAATTGAATTAAAACATATACCAAATATTAAAACATGTTATAAATGAAAAATACTGCAGTTTACATGGTTTTGAGAGGTAGGAGGGTTGTAGACTGGGTGAGGGGGGGGGGGGGGGAGTTGGCCCGGGGGAAGTGACCAATCAACGCGCCGAACACTTATGCTACTGTACATGATTGATGTCGGAATGGAGCACAGGCACCAGACACAATTATTTTACCCATATACGCTCATAATACTATATATAAAGAATATTATTCTATAGTATATAGTATGTCTGGTGCCTGTGGAATGGAGGAGTTACCTTATAAACCTTCTCAACAATGTATCCGATTCACCCTGCTTTTGTCCAGTTTAACCATTTAATGTGTCTAGATTACTTTAATGTTTTTTATGGTTTCATTCTACTGTACTGAGTATATTTAAAAATCTACTTTTTCCTTAATTTAGTTTTGTTTTGCTGCAAATCATATGACGTCATCATACAGTAGACTCACATGTGACGTAATTACGCGGCAAGGTTTTATCTCAGCTGATATAGACAGTAGCAGGAATTGAGAAAAATATGAATGGCTTTAATATTTGACATAATGTTACAGAACATAGCAGACTTCTATGGTAATGAGTAAGTCTTGAGTTATATTGTTACAGACATTAGGTGAAAAATATTACGAACTTTATAATCAAACCTTTGCATTCCAATGTAAGATTATTTAAGTAGATCTAAGCTACTACAGTATATGTTGTATAACCACAGGAATAAGGCGCTTCAAATGATCTATCGCTACACACAGGTTATCGGCGTACATGACCAAGCCCTACATCCAAGGTACCACCCCCAGGACCCACTATACTACCCAAATATACTTCAACACATTCAAAATACATGTCAATACAAAATCAAACAATTCTATCAAAAACTATATTACTGATTCTATTAACTATACAGTACATACCTCGGAGGTATGGCTTGGTCCCACGCCGATAATCTGTGCCGCTGCCGGCGCTACACCCCTTCCAGTCCTTGCTACATCCTCCAAAAATATAAATGAAAGTCGTTTGTTACAATACTATACTGGTTGGGGAGATAACTTCGGCTGGTTGATAAACTCGGTTTTTTATAATTTAATCGAGTTATCGGCTTTTTTAATGTAATCAAGCTCACCATCTCGTACGAACGCTGGAATTCGACAATATCTGGAAATTTTGTCAAGTTTGGTAAGATATTTAAAAAAATAGCACAGACTTTTACCCGTTTGTTTACAAAACATGCCTATAAATAGTACGGGAAATCCGATTGCTGTACGCATGCGCAGTACATGCTCATTTTGAGGCCCGTACAGGGTTACTTTTTATGAGTCCCTTTCAGGCAGCACATTTTTCTCACCCTATGACATACTTAAAAAAGAACAAACCAAAAAAACGTATTTACGTTAAAATGAATTATATGTTACATAGTACGTTGCATATTTAATATCATGTTATCATAAATACATGTATTTATTATACTAACGTAATTCTCAAAAATTCTGATACAAATTTTTTTTATTTGACATATATGACTAGCAGCAAAGGAATAATAAAATGGCGTAACATGTTATTCTACGTTTTAATTTACTCATTAAAAATGATTTAAGAAGAAAAACAAAGAGCCGGAATTATCTACTCGATCGGGCGCGTTAAAAATGTCCTTTTTACGTACCTCTTCCAGGGCCTCCTAAAATTACCCGTTTTGTTTCTAAATATAACTTTTATGGTGATACCGGAATATCGAAGAGCTGAAGTTTATTATGGTGCAATTCATCAGAATACGTAAACAAAATTGAAATAAATGAAATATGCCCCAACAACACCGAGTTTATCTCCCAAACCAGTAATGATGTATGTGAAGTTGGCAGCCTAACAGCCTGGCAGCCTAACAGCCTAAAGAAAACTAAGAATAGTACAAACATGAAAATGGTCGGAAATACATATTATAAATAACACTTCCTTAGATCATTCCACGCCCATTTCAATATCGTGATCTTTATTTTTAAGATGTTGAACTTTATCTTAACATCTTTTTTTTCATTCTGATGCTTCGAAATTTGTGAAGTTAGCAGCCCAGCAGCCTAGCAGCCTAAAGTATTATAAAAATTGCATAATAGTGTTATATTATTGTTGTAATGAACTAAATGCTGAAAATGTTTTTAACATTGTATTTTTTATGGGGGGGGGGGGGGGGGTAGCGGTAGGGGATAATATCAGATCAAAGCGTCTTACCCCTGTGCGTTAAACTAGTAAATAAATAATTATCTGAAAATGTGAGTTAGCCTCAAGATATACATATTTAATATAGTATAGTTCAGGTATGACGAGGTGTATAAAATATTCTCCTCTCATACGTAAACAAAAAATGTATGTTTACAAATGTAAAATCAATACGTTTTGAATAAATTTATCGTAAGGTATACTTGTAGATCTAAATGTAAATAGAAAAGTCAAGGCTCACAGGACGTGAAAAACAACAGAAAAAGTGTCATAAACTGTTTTTCATATGTTAATACACGTAAAATGTACAAATTTTAATGCAAGATCAATACGATAAGCTTTAAGGGTAAACTGGTGATAGATCTAATTGTTCGAAAAGTTAGAAATAATCGGTGTGTATATAAATAGAAATATAGCATTGATACGTCGTGACTTTCTCTCATGTAACTAGCTGTAAATTATATACTGTTTAGATTGAATGTACAGAAAGGAAATAATGTATTGAATTTGCGACAGCTGTATGCACAAGATAGCGCGCGTGCTTGTTCTATAAAAAATAAAGAGCTCTAAAAAAGTGATTTACTTTTTGTAGTGTTATATATGTGAAAAGTGCCAGTTTCTCGTGCTGCTTTTAAAGTAAATGATTTAAAGTAATCGAGAAAATGTAAATTTTATAAATGGATATATTTATTTGCTTTAGATACTTCAATAACGTTATAGTCCTTTTCATTGACCGAAAATAAGTTATGATTTTTAAACTCAAGTTTGAATTACAAAAAGAGAAAGAAAAAAATCAGGAAAAGAGAAAGATAGAAGAGATATGGCCGTGACATCACTATAAACTGCTAAAAATCGCTATTTCCAACACTCGTATGTTCGTCTATAAATTCGAATTTACTTTTTCCCAGAAGACAGGCAGCCTTCAATATGAACTTAATGTATGTATGATATATTTTTCCATAATTGAACGTAGTTATGCATTACTTGCTAATATATATTTGATCATACATTACATAAGGTACAATCAAGTTATGATACCAGGATAGTTTAAATAAGTTCTGTTTGGACTTTCAATATGTGAGTATATCATTAGTTTTTAGGATGAATCATCAGAATTTAGTGATTTTTAAAAGAGAATTAATATATTTATTCTGTTATTTTTTTAAGAAACGATCATTGTAATTCCGTGAAATATTTTCAGTTGAATTTATTTAGTGGTAGTTAATAGATAATAAAAACACTGAAAACTTTGAATTTACGTGTTGTATCAAGTTTCAGTTGATTGCATAATCCATATATAAAATGTTCTCAATTCTGGACAGTAAAGATTTAAACACATTTAATAATGTATTTTAAACGGTTTGATAATTTTGCAGCTTGTTGAATTTAGCTGTAGTTGTCACCTGATACTACATGTAGCAACAAGTTAAAAAGTGCGGTTTATGGTTCGAGTCCAATACCGGGTACCAGGACGGGCGATTCCCTACCGTTTTGTTTGTCCAGATCCGATACCTGGTACCAGGACGGGTGCCTCCCTGCCGTTTTGTTTGTCCAGGTCCGATACCTTGTACTAGGACATGTACATCTCTGTCATCTTTTTATAACCTAGAATTTAAACAGGCCAATTCCGACTTAACCTTAAGCCTAAATGGCTTAATTATTAATACCGGCCCAGGATGAGACTGGGTGCGATGTGACCGTAATTTTAATAGAGAGTAATAGAGTCCCTGGAACGCAACAAAACGATAAATTGAAAATGTTGCAGGCTCGGTTTGATAGAGCCTGTTCATTGGACGGTACTGTAAAGTGCAAATACCGTACCACGTCCCTAGCACCGGCTTAGTAATAATTCAAACATGTAAAATATGGAAATTGAAACAGATGTATTCATAGCGGCAATTATCATTTGGAATCTTCATGTGACACGTTAGCAGTTAGTGTCATTTCCATGAAAAGCGCGTATGGTCCCCGAAGTTAAAGAATGCTGTAGCCCTTAACGAGAAAAATAAAACAATGGGCAGAACTAAACAAAAATGGAATATAGAATAAGGGTGATCAGAGTTATGGAGCTTGCATATCAACAGATAAGCGACTCAAAGACAGAGGTTTTAATGCAGCCACATGCTATGCCTAGGGTGATAAACAGTAATTCAAGACACCCTACTAGAAAATAGCCAAATAGAAAGAACTTAAGTACCAAAAGCACAACAATAATGTGCTGAACGATCTTTAATTAAGGATCGGAAATATAACATCCCTGAAAGCACAGTGATAATGTTTTGATGACACAAAAATGATTGAACAGTACAATGCAAAGATAGGAAATGTTCATACGATCTGGATTATGGTTTTATTTTATGCAGTTTAACCAGATCACTATCAAACATGGTTTCTAAACCCTTTTCAGTTTTTCTCTGCGCTTAATACCCGCATCATTTTGATATCATACATGGTATCATTATACAATATACATTATAAACACTGTATAATTACAGTAAATAATGAATGTACTGACGAAGCTTTTAATAGAATTTGTTAGCGAGTTTTACATTGAAAAGTGATTCAATATAAAAAAAATGTTTTGACGCAGAAAATGAACCGACAGCTGGTAACAGCAAACAATTCACCATGATGTTTTTGTTGTTTAACTATTTTATTTCCGCTTCTGTTTCTATTCTAGCGACTGTAGTTACAAAATATAAATGGACATATTCGTGGCCGTACAGTAAAACTTGTCTATAGATGCAAGTGTAAGTAACTTTTAATGTAAGTCTTTCTGTATTAGTTCTTCTGAACAACGATAAAATTATTTGACATATTTTATCAAAGCAATTTTTATTCGAAGCTGGTCTTTTATACAGGTTTGATGTTTTTCAGTGTAGCTTATTTATTGAAACGATCTCTTGATTATCTGTAAACATGCGGAATTAAAACATTGCATACTTTGTTTCACATAATGATATAAAAAATTGGCTGATCTTATGATTCATGTTTAATCTTATAAACTCATATAGCAATTTATAAATTCAGTGAAGTAAAGTGAAGGGAAAACAAAATATAGCTTTCATCGCGGAATATATGCGTCTTTCATACTTAGCACATTTTAAAAGTGAAGGACAAATAAAAAATATGTATAATATGAGTAATATACACGTGAGTAAAGGATTAAAATGATTGATTATAAGTTTAACAGTGACTTTTACATAAATTGGACTTCGCAGATTGTAAAATGTTACATATGAAAGCTAAATACTGACTAAACTCACTTAACTTCAGCACACAAAAAAGACAAATAGAGAGAAAATCGACTTACTACACAAACGATTTGGAAGGGGATTCAAAACATCATCCATTCGTTTCCATTGTTA